CCACCCTCTCTCTCACAAATAAACACACAGCTGACCCTACCTCCAGCCGCCCAAATCACCTGTCCACAAAAACTGCTTTTAGTCTGCATTTGTTAAATGGCCCAGAGCTTAACCTGCACTGTTTAACTCATTCAATACTCAACAGACCTGTGAGTTGGGATCCTCAGCTTTCCTTTGACACAAAAGGAAGAAGGTTCAGAGAAATTAGGTCACACAATAAGTGGGGAGGCCCTGCTCCCAAGCTCCACTCTTTCTGGACTCTCACTGTCTGGGGCAGTGACCTCTAATTGGGGCTGGGGGGAAGCACTTACATGTGGGCCATTATTTCTGTGAATGCCTTCCGCCTCACGATGTGAGGTCCTGGTGGGCCTGCCCGGAGGGCTTGCTCTCAGACTGTCCGCTGTGAGAAGAAAAAGCCAGTTCCTCAACGGAGTAGCAAAAACACTTAGGCCAGCGACTCTCCCTCTTTGGGCCTCAGTTTCTCTTGCTGTAAAATGGGAACGAAAGGGCGGGGTCTGCTAGAGTCCCCTTTGACTGAGAGCTGATGGCTCTTGAAGCAGTTCATCTCCGTTCCCAAGCCTGCCCCAGTGAGATAGTGGGGGTGGGATGGCCGCAAGGACAGAGGTTCCTGAGTTCTAGGGCGGTTCCAGATAACAGCCGCTCCCCTGGCGCTGGTACACCCCAACCCCCACCAACCCATCTCGCGCTGTCACTTTCAGATCCGGCGGGGCCTCTTGGGTGGTGGCGCGGCATCTAGCGCCTCCTGGAGCCGGGTTCTCCCGAATCTTCGTCGCGTGCCGCAGCTTGCGAGGACGCGGATCCCAGGAGAGGTGCGGCGGGCCGCGCCCGAGCCCAGGGCGCCTGGCTGCAGTCGGCTCCGGCAAGTCGAGGCCGGGGGCGGGGGGACGGTCACCACGGGAGTCGAGGGGGAAGCCAGGGCTCCGCGCGCTCCTCGGCGCCCGCGTTGGCGCCCCCGCCGGGTTGCAAAGCCGCTGCTGGAGCGCGCTGTCCCGGGACCGGAGCCTGCCGGGGCGAGCCGGGCTTGGCACCTCTGCTCCGGGGGCCGGGCGGCGGGAGCGGACCTGGGGACAGGCGAGGTGAGACCCCGGGACGAGACCCGGCGCCTGACCTTAGCACTTTTGCAGGGTGCGGAGAGCGGGGCTAGAGGAACCGAAAGACACTGTTCCCAGGTTCGTGTCACCCTCCTGTCTGACAGCCACCATGCCTTTACCCGCGCCGGGCTCCCCAAGCCTGGACCACGCCTGACCGCCTGCCTCGCGATGGCTGCGCCCGCGGTGGGTACATCCTTCCTTCTCTTCCTCCTTCAGGAGCATTTTGGCTCTTCCTAACGCCGACCCCACCTGGACCCCTTCCGTTCACCTTGACCACAGTGGCTTGGTGCGCAGTCTGGACACCCAGGTCTCCTCCTGTGTTCTAACTCTCAGGGTGGCCTAGGGCCATGGCGATCAGGGCCTCAGTTTACCCGGTGATTACATGGAGATGGTCGTGGCCACTAGTTCAGACAATTTAGTTCTTTACAGAAAATTGGCATCTGAAGTTCCCTTGTTAATAGCAGTACAAAACTGGGGGACGGGAGGCATGGAGAAGAAGCCCAGTGTCAGAGCCAGGGTCTATCCTCTGTCCAGCTCTGTTACCATGCTTCACTTACAGCTTGCCATCTTTGCCGTCTCATCTTCATAACTTGTTCCTCCCTGGGAGGCAAGAATTTGAGCTCAGAGATGTTGAGCAGCCTGCTTAAAGTCACAGAGCTAACATAGAATGGCCATAGTTAGAGGGAGCAGTAAATCCGAGGCAGGAAAAGGCCTCTTCTGGCTGGTGGGAGGTGGGGGTTCTGGGAGAGGGTGGTTGGTGTTTGGGCTGAGTCTTGAAGGGGTGGGTCTGTGAATGAGGGCCCTGGATGGAGACAGGTGGAGAGAGCAACACCTACAGAGGCCCCCAGGTCGCAGGAGTTCAGGCATGTGTGGGTGTCAGGGAGCTGAGGAAGGGGACCAGCCTGGCAGGCCCTGACTGAATGCCAGGATCAGAAGTGGGACTTCTCTGGGACTGGGATTATGCCCTCCAGGGCAGGGGGCCATTTCTTCTTTCCCCATCAGAGTACTACTAGGTACATAAGTGTGAGAGGTGAAGACCACTGAAGACCACTCTCTGAAATGGGCCAGGGGGAATCTTGGGCCAGAACATCTTGCTGATAGTCAGAGCCCTGATCTGTAATAATAATGAAAACCACCGTACACCAACAGAACAGGCTGTCCTTCATCTAGTGAACCTTCCATCCTCTACCCTCTGGTAGTGTCAGGTTGGCATGCGTCTTGCCTGCCCATGGAAGATCCACATGGAAGGAAGGAGACCCACACAGAGGGAGATGATCAGTGACCACAACACCTGTGAGAACACGTAAAGGGCAATCGCAAGGGCTTGTCTGAGGCCCAGGAGATGTCAAGGCAGGAAGGAGGGCAGTACATTCTGGAAAGCAAGAACTGCCTGTGCCAAAAACTTACAGATACATCTCTTCACGGCAAAGTCTCAACTTTAGGTACTAAAAATATAGATAGATCTAGTTGTACACACACACAGGGATTTGAGTCAGACTAAACCCAGTTTCAAATTCAGCACTGATCTTGGACAATCTGTCATCCTCAAAACCCCAGTGTCCTCAGAACATAATGCTGTTTTGAGGGTTAAGTCACAGGACACCTGTAAAGTGCTTGGTGTGGTGCCCAGCCCGTGTAAATGCCCAGCGCACACCCGCTGTCACCATCATTGTGTATGTAGGCCAAGGGAGAAATGGGAAGGAAACATTCATGTGGGGGTCATACTCATCTCTGAGGGGAGGGCTGAACAATTATTTATATTTTGCATTTTTATTCCCTTCTGTAGTTTTTCTCTTTTTTCTACAATAAGCAACTATTGCTTTTATAGAAAGTAAAAAGCACCATAAATTCTTCAAGTGTTGAGGGACTCAGCCGTATCTGGCTTTGGGCAAAGTCTCTCACCTTTTTGGGCACCATCTGCTCATTTGCAAAGCAGAAATTTCTTTTCCTGCCCCGTTGTGGTTGAGTCAGATGTGATGACACTCAGTGTGAAGGGTAACTGTCAAATGTTGCAATATGCAGTCCAGAGCTTATTGTCATTGATCCGCTGGTTAGTCTTTTAAGTTGGTTTCTCCAGCTGTCTGACTTTGGGGAGAGAGTAGTCAGGTTCTTCTCCCACCCCCTATGAAAATACATTCAGCTGGAGACAGGAGATACTTGCCCCAAAGATAGATTCATAGGCAGAGAACTGCAGGTAATTTACAAATGGTAGTTTTTTTTTCTATATGCTTTTGGTGGTCTGGGGGCTCTGAAAGATTAAGGTCCTCTCCTAGAGCACCGTGTTACAAGGATACATTCTCTCACGCATGCACATGCACACATTTTAAAACACATTTGGGAAGATGCCCTTTTAAAAAAATTAATTTATTTTAAATTATAGTTGACATAGAGTATTATATTAGTTTCAGGTGTACAACATAGTGATTCAACATTTATGTACCTTACAAAGTGATCACCACCATAAATCTAGTAACCATCTGTCACTGTACATAGTTATTAGGTTGTTATTGACTCTATTCCCTACATTGTACCTTATATCCCCATGACATGTTTTATAACTGGAAGTTTGTACTTCTTAATCCCCTTTCCCTATTCCTTCCCTCCCCCACACCTCTGGTGGGAACATACCCTACTGATAGCTTCAGCTACTGTATCTGGAGCATTGTGCCATGTCCCACCACTTCCCTAAGAGCATGCCTTTGAATGGCTTTGAAGTAGAATATCTTTCAGATGTACCCCATTTGGCATTTCAAATGAGGTAGCAGGCCCAGGGCAGTTGGGAAGCTTACCCCAGGACACATCTGGTATGCTGCAGGGTGGGCACTAAAGCCAGGCCTCTGTTCCACAGCTGGGTGCTGGAGCAGCTGGACTCCTGTGTTCCTTCCCCTCACCCGCTTCTCCTAGCTGTGGGGTAGGCTTTTTAGACAACAAGCATTTGCCCAGCAACACTTTCCTTCATTTAAGAGAATTTCTTCAACAAATGTTTATTGAGCAGCTACTATGTGCCAGGCACTGGGAGATATAGCAGTGAATAGGGCCAATAGGGACAGCAAAGGAGAAATTAAACACAGATAAGTGCTGCGGTCCAAGAAGGCCCAGGGGACTTGGGTGCTTAAAGTGTCACCAGCAAAGTCTTCTTGAGTGGGGGCCAAGTTAAGCCCTGAGGGGAGATAAAAGCAAATTAGCAGGGAGAGAAAACAGCATGTACAATGGCCTAGAGGTTGGCTTAGGGCACAACATGGACTTAGGTTTCAGCCTCTTCCTGTCTGTATGATCCATGGGGCCAGGTTCCCTCCCAGTGTTTTTTCTTTTATTCCTGTGCACTTTTCTTTATTTAATTGAAATAACACTGTGTACATGATTATGTTATTAAGCTGAAAAAGGAAGCCATCATGAGCATTTCCCCATTAAACATTTGAGCTGAGCTAAATTCTTAAAAAATCAGTCATTAATATTCCATCTAGAGGTTACGCCATGGTTTACATGCCATTTCCCTAGAGCTGGACATTTAGGCTCTTTCCAAATTAGGATTATTATAAATAAGGCCATGGTGACTTTGCACAACTTTTTGCACAATTTTGTTTTCTATCATGAATTTCAACTTCAGACTTCTCAGTGCCCTCCATCGCACTTGCTCCTTTATTACTCTGGATTTCGGTGTCATCCTGTCAAATGGAGATTTAAGTGTCGACCTCTCGGGATTGTGACCGGGGTGAAGTGAGGTAATGAGTAATCAGCAAGCCCCAATCCTGGCAGGCCTTGTGGACCCAACATGTGTTCACTCTCCTCCCTCCCTGCCATGGAAGGCACAATGGGGTCTTATGCCCACCAGGCAGATGAGACCTCTGAGGCCTGGAGAAGGGCCCGGAGTGAACATGGCCACACTTACTGAGCTACTGGGTCTTAGGCATGGTGCTAGGAACTTTAGACACATTTTCTGTGACTTTCAAGACAGCCCTGCAAAGTTGAGAACACAATCTCCATTTCACTGATGAGGAAACTGAGGCACAGAGGACTCAAATGACTCTCCAAGGTTGCACAGTGACTTCAGGTGGAGGAGGACTAAAACCTGGGTCTCAGTACCCAGCAGGTCTCTCACATGCCCGTTTACTCTCGTCTGTCCTTCTCCATGTCCAGACCTGTGACAGGGGCCGTGTGGCCTCCACCCTCCGCTACTGCATGACGGTCAGCGGCACGGTGGTTCTCGTGGCTGGAATACTCTGTTTCGCTTGGTGGAGTGAAGAGAATACAGGTGCCCAGCCTGTCCAGCCGGCCTCACCCACTGGACACCCTGAACCTGAGGCCCTCAGAAACCTGCTCAGGTCCATCAGCTTCTTCTGCTGCGGTGCAGGTGGCCTGCTGCTGCTCCTTGGCCTTCTGTGGTCCATCAAGGCCAGAACCCAGGGGCCACCCCAATGGGACCCATATCACCTCTCCAGAGACCTGTACTACCTCACTGTGGAGCCCTTGAAAAAGGAGAGCTGCAGGTCAGTGGGGCAGGATGGGGGAAGCTGGTAGGGGCCATAAGCGGAGGGCATTATTTCATCATTACTCATTTGCTCAGTAAACCCTCATGCGCTTCCTCCTCTGGACCAGCTTTGTCTATGCCCTGAGGACTTGAAGGCTGATCAGCACAATCTTGGAGGAGTTTAAGGCTCCATAACAGAAGTAGATCTTGATAAGCCAGAGTAGTTAGAGCTGTGAGAGAGACTCAGACATTGGCCTGTGGAGACATGGAGAAATCTAGGAAGGCTTCTTGGAGGAGGTAGCAGCTGAAAATAGCATAGGGGTTAAAAGCCCAGGCACACGCGTCAGAGTAGGATCCTCTCCTGGTTTTATTACTAACTAGCAGTAGGACGTCAAGTAGATTGTGCAAACCCACTGAGCTTCAGCTTGCTCATCTGAAAACACCTGTATGGTACTTAATGGGCCAGACACTGTTCTAAGTGCATTTTGTATATTTACTCATTTAATCCTTACAGAGGCCCTCTGAAGTAGGAGACCGAGGAGACCGAGGTACCAAGATGTATGTAACTTGCCTAAGGACACCCAGCTAGTGTGTGTCAGGGCCAGGACTTGGACCCAGAGTTTATGCTCTCACCCACTCACTAGCTCAGGGGACACGGGGAGAATTAAATGAGATGACATGTATGTAGAACTTAGCCCCATATCTGGCACACGGTAGATGCACAGTAAATGTTAGCTTTTTTTCAAGTGGCTGACGTGATGAGAGGCAGTTTAGGCAGGTGGAAGAGGACATGTGGAAGCTCAGGTGGGATGTGGAGTGCAGACCAAATCTTGCATTAAGACAATATATTTCAATATATTTTTGTTCCAAGGAGGCTTTTTAGGCATTTTTTTCTTAATCTTCTACATGAAATTTAAATACCACAGATATACAACATATTTACATATATTCTGTATGTATATCTGTGCTTTATACATAAGAACAGTATCACCAATATACCAAGAACCAATTTTGGCCCTGTTAAGAAAATGAATTATGCATGCACTTATTCTGTACTTATTCATCTAACCAAGTATTGGGTGTGCCTATGTATCAGGGACCTGTATACATCTTCTCCAGTCCTTCTGTCCCCTGCAAGGTAAGAATTGCTGTTGTCATTTACAGAAAAAGATGGTGAGGGTTATACAGCTAGAAAGCAGCAGAGCCTGCTGGCTACACAGCCTGCATTCTCTCACACCTCTTTGTAAGCACCAGATTTGGATGTATTAGAGGGTAAGCCAGACATCTGTGAGCTGGCCTGGGACCTGGACACCTTCTTCCCTTAAAGGGGAAAATGCATCCTGAGTTAAGGAATATAACAGATTATTCCCACAACTGGCCTGTGAATCCTCAAAGTCAGAGATGATAGAGTATTCAACAGAGGCCACTTAGTCCAGTGCTTAGGCCTTGGTTTGACCCAATGGTTAGAGGGCAGGGCAGGGCCTTGGGGACTCTCCAGCCAAATCCTTCACTTCTCAGATGAGAATCCTGGGTCTCAGAGAGACCAGTGACTTACCTGGTCACACAGTGAGTTAGTTGTCTGTTGGAACCAGGCCAGGCCTCAGGGAGCTCTGGCCCAGAGCCTGTCCCTCCCCACTCACTGTGGCCTGAGTGTAGGGGTTGGGTGTTGTCTGTACACACAGCCATGTTGATCCAACAGGGTCTAGGCCACAGCCGTGTCTGTCAGGTGGGGCCACTTGACCTTCATTCCCTGCCAGGCCAGGGAAGAGGCCCACTCTGGAGGATGCAGGGTGTCCCTGGCCCATCAAATTTAGAGACCAGAACTTAGATTCAGAACTGAGTGTTGGGGAGGCTGCTTCTGCTAATGGCTCTTCCCTGTCCCTGGGCTGACTCAGCCCAGCCCTGCCACCTGTTAGCCCAGCATTTGGCCCCCATGGGGAGGCCACTATGCTGTTCCTGTCTCAGGCACCTCACTCTCTGGAAGGTGCCTGGCTGTGGGTAAATGCAGGTCAGAGACAAAAGCTTCCTAGACTGGTGGCTTGGCCAGATTTCTTCGTCTCTTGGGGCCTCAGTTTCTCCATTTACTCATCTACTTATTCTTTCACACATTTAGCTGTATTTACTGAGCACCTATTATGTGCTGAGTCCTATGCAGAACACTGACAAGACAACACTGTACAGAACAGATAAAACCCTTTCCCTCTGGGGGCTCCCATCTTATGGGTGAGCCCCTAAATGGGGTGTCTGGACAGGAGGCCTCCCAGGGCCCCCACCCACTGAGTACAGCAGAAAAAGCATGGGCCTATTCAAACATGCGGGTTTCAGTCTGCTCTTTCTTTTTTTAAGCTGTGTCCTTGAGCATATTAGACTCTCTGAGCTGGGTCTAATTCCTCACCTGTCAGGTGGGGGGGACAGACCTTTTCCCTAGGGTCGCCGTTAGGCTCAGATTAGAAGATAGGTGTGTAAAGTTTGTGCTCACATTAGTGCTTTGTAGTTTACGACGTATTGTTATGCTCGCTAACTGATTTGAGCCTCAACTGCTCATACGTGGAGCAGCTTATGAGGCAAGTATAAAGATTAGGCCCATTTTACGGACGAGAAAGCTGAGGAATGAGGGGGTTAGGGGCTGGATCGGGAGAAGTGTGATAGGTGGAGTTGGCTTGAGTGTTGCAACCAGAGCTGGGGCTTTGCCGCTTGGTTGATGTGTGATTTTGAATCATCTGTACAGTGGCTGAGAGATGCTATCCCTCAGGGTTGTCATGAAATGTGAAATAGATGAGAGGGTTTAAGTGCTGGCAAACAGTATTTCATCTCTGTCTCTTCTCCTTTTCCTACCATGTTTGCCTGGCTCAGCTGAGGGCAGAGGAGCTGGTGCCAGGCCAGATCTCCTGCCCCAACCAGGCTCCAGAGAGTGGGTGAGCCCCAGCCTCAGTGGAGCTTCCTGTGCATGGGGACCAGAGTGGCAGCCCACCCCACACAACCTCAGGGTGCTACATCCTCCAGAACACGCCATGAATGAGCCTCCCCATAAAGTGTGCAATATGTCTTCCCTGCGTGAGACCTCATGGTCTTTAAGTTCCAGCAATCTGAACCTTGACCATGGTGACTTGGGGCTGGGTGGGCCCACCTGGCTACTAAGGTGACAGCAGGTAGCATGAGTGCCATTTCACATATGTTCTCAAGCACTTTCTGCTGTGGGCTCAGCTCACCCATGCCCTGCCTTGCCTGCTGTCGCCTAAGCAAACTCAATCCTTTGTCATGTCTCTAGAGTGTGGAGAAGTGGGGGTGTGTGCAGCAGGAGTGTGACTAGGAAGTGAGCAAGGCAGGAGATGTGGGGCTCCGGAAGCCTTATTACCCACATTTTTCTGTGTGTTGTCAAAGCTTTTTTCATTTTTCATTTTTTTCATTTTTCCTTTTTTCATTTTGCCCTGCATCTATGAAATGGGAAATGTTACCCCCATTTTACAGTTAAGGAGAAAGAGGCTCAGAGAGGGTGTGAACACAGTCTAGGTCACACAGCAATAGAACCTGGCTCGCTTGTCTCCAGGAACAATAATCTTTGCCTGCTCTCACCTGCAAAGGATGCTGGGAGTGCAGAGAAGGGTTAGGTCCCTTATCAGCTTCCTTAGCTTCAAAGCTCCTGGGCTGGCTTCCAGAGGAGGGTCTGTGAGGGAAGTTTGTAAGAGCACTGGACGGGGAGCCCCAGATTTGGCTTCTGGCTGGTGCCCTCCATCAGACGAGCACACAGGGTGGGGGTCAACCCGAGGCTCCCTGCCAGCCTGCTCCATGACTCTGTCTGTGACTGCAGCAGTGAGCCTGCCTTCCAGTGGGCTGCTCTGAGGGCTATAGTAAGCTTGAGATGAGAAGACACATTGCCTAGAGACAGGCTGCGTCTCTGACAGCTGATGGGTGCTCACATGAGTGGCATCAGCACATTCCCAGCATAGCTTCACCACCAGGCCCTGGAGTTAAATCCCCTCCATGTCCTCTTCTGTCCTCCGGGCCAGCCTCTGCCATCAGCCGCTCCCCTGTCTAGACGGGCAGGTCCACTGGTATGGACTGAGCTGCTTCCCTGCCAGCTCCAAACTGATGACCCTGGGTGAGTGACAGCCTCTCTGAGCCTATGGTGGCCTTGCTCTGCAGGAGACTGTGATGAGTTTTGTTGCCCATACCCCTTCTTCATGGAGACGTTTGAGACTTTGTGACTGGGGCCAATTTATGGACATGTGCTAATTGTCCCCTTGCATTCTCTCATTTAATCTCCACACAGTCCCATGAGGTAGGGGCCGTTATTGTCCTCATTAACAGGAGGAAACCAAGGCCCAGATTAATGGAATTACTGACCTCGATGTCCCTCCAGGAATATGGCAGAGGAGGGAGCCAGTGCCCAGACTCATAACCAGCCCCCAAGTGACTTGGAGTGGGAAGGGACCTTCAAGATCACCTGGTCGGCCTCCGTATCTGATTGGATCATTCCCAAAGCAGAAACAGCTCAGGCCTAGGATCAGTGACACTCTTGCCCCATAGGGTCATAAGAGGAGAAGGGAAAAGGACTCCTTAGAGGTGACCGGCGGAGACCCTGAGAGGACTGAAGGCCAGTATCATTCCCATCAGCACTGGCGCAAATGGGATGTGGGGACTTGTTCTTGGAATCTGGCTGCAAAGCCTGGTCAGAGGAGCCTCAGAGGACCTGGTGTCTGTGTCAGGTCTCTGCAGGGTGGTTCATGTAGGAGAGGTGGGGGAGAGTCACAGGAAAGCCAAGCTGTTCACAGACAGATGTGGTTGACTCTATCTCCGGAGATATACAAGCAGAAGTATTTACTTGGTGGACTTACTGTATCAGAGCTTCAAACATCCAGACGGGTAAGGGAATTGAGGTCTGCCCTCCTGCTCTGAGCATCCACAACTCGGCTCTTGTAAGGGATATTACAGTAAGCTGGGAGTCTTTCTGCCCACAGACCATCACTCAGTCTTTCAACAAACATCCCCAAGCATATGCCCTTAGCTGCTGGACACTCAAAGTCAGTCCCTGCCCTAGAGGACAACCAGGCAAGGTCAGTGTGGTGACAGAGGAAAGCAGTGTGGGAGCCCAGAGCAAGGAATTGGAGCTTTGCTGGGGGAGGGACCAGTCAGGAGAGCTTCCCAGAGGAGTCTCAAAGGACAAGTAGGGACTAAACAGCAGGGAAGGGGTGAAGGAGGTGGGAAGGACTTGCCCTGCGGAGAGAACAGAGGAGGCACGAGGAGGCACGGTGGGCACATCAGGGAGTGGGCAGGGTGGGTGGAATGGGAGAGCTGAGGTTAGCAGGGGCCGCTCAGGCCAATCTCCAAGTGTGTATATGGGACCCTGGGGAACCCACAGAGTGTGTGGACCAGGAGCTGGTCCACGCAGCTCTTCCTCACTGTCTCCCTGGCATGCAGTAAGTTTTCCCCTTGCCTCTGCTAACAGCCTCTCTTCTCCTGTCCCTGTAGGACTCCAAAGCTTGTTGCCATCCCCACTTACGAGGAGGCCATGTGCTGTCCATTGGCCGAGGGGTCCCTGGTACCACCTGCATACCCCATGGAGGAAGGCCCGATGTGCAGTGCCTCCAGGGATGCCCTGTTTGGGACCCGGTCCACCTTGCCTCCACCCAGCTATGAGAGCATCATCCTTGCTGCTGATGCCATCCCTGGAGATATAAATCCTGGTGCTGCCTGCTCCTGCCCAGCTGGTTCAGATCACAGTGGAAGGAAGTTAAAGACTCTTAATAGGCCCTGAAGCCAGAGACAAATCTTGAGCTTCTTCTAGTGTCTGATACAGTGTCCGGTATACAATAAGCACTCAACAAATGTTTGTTGCTGAATACCATTTTATTTATCTATTGCTGTGTAACAAATGGTTTGAAATCAGTCTATTTTATTATCTCTCATGATTCTCTGGGTTGTCTAGACCCACCTTGGTCGTTCTTCTGCCCCACATAATGCTGGTGGGCTACTGTCATCAGGGGCCCAGCTGGGCCAAGGTGGTATACTCATACGGCTGGCAGTTAGTGCTAGCTGTCAGCTGGGAGATTTTATTGTGCACATGAGAAAATTGGGGCCCGGAGGCATAGCCAGGACTGGCTAAGGTCACACACTAAATTTATAACCAAAAGAACATGGACTCTTAATTTAGATCACCTATGCCTGGGTTCCACTATGTACCAGCTGAGTGACCTTGGACAAGGGACTTTACTTCTCTCTGCTGCAGTTTCCTCTTCTGTAAAATGGGAATTGGGAATTACAGTGGCACCAGCTCCTACCTCAGAGAGCTGAGCTGTGAGGATTAAATGAGACGAGAGCAGCTGACATTGTAAGCTCACATTGACCGTGCAGGCTCAGAACTAATGCATTGAATGACAAATGCAGTTTTTTTAGCCCAGTGACAGGTGTCTATCAAGTATGAAGTGATTGTCAGATTTTGTTAGTAGAGGTGACCACCCTCCCTCCACCAAGTGCAAATCTGGTCACGGCTTCCATATTTCCTGTGATGGGGAGTTCACAACCTGTCCTTACTTTCCAGATATGGCAGAAATGTCTGCTTTCTGTCCAGCTACATTTTGCATCCCTACATCTTCACATTACCCCATTCACAGAGGATAAAACCATCTCAGATTAAGCAACCTTCCTAAGGTCACACAGCAAGCTGGAGTTCAAAGTCCTGGAGCTCAGTCAGCTGGATAAGAGTGGCATTCCCACAGGGCCTAATGAATGCTGGGCCAGGACCTCTGGCATTATTTCATACCCTCAAGTCTGCTCTGCTGCTGGCCACCTGCATTTGTGGAAATTGAACCTCAGGGAGGTAAAATCACAGAGCATAAAGGCAGAGCCAGTGTTTCATTCAGGCCTGGATGGGCTCCTTGCCGAGATCCTCCCACTTAGGCCTGGACTCAGGTCTCCCTGCTTCTACCAGTGTCCCTTGCAGTCTCTTCTCAGCTCAGAATGGCCTGACCCTCCCCAGGTGGAAGATGCCTTTTCTAGGCTAAGAATCTTGAGTGGTTCCCAGCTCACTTTGGATAATGAAAGCCCACACTGTGGTACAGGCTGGGGCCAGGGTGTCTGGGCCGGCCCTTCCTCCTCTCACTTCCTCCCCGCCCCACCCGCTCCTTTCTGCTGTGTCAGTCCCGCTGTGGGCCTTTGTACTTTCCCTCTCTCTCTTCCCAAAGCTCCTCCCCAGGGCTTGCTCCTCACCTTCCTGCACCTTTGTTCAGTCTCTCTCTTCAAGAAGCGTCCTTGACCACTCTGTTTAAAACCGCGTCCCACCCATGCTCTTGCACTCCCAGCCTCCTTCGGGCCCTATTTGTTTATAATCCCTGTCACCATTTAACAATTTACCTTTTAAAATTTGTTTGTTTGTTTATTGTCTATATCTCCCCACCAGGACAAAAGCTCCCTGAGAACAGGAAATTTTTTCGTTCTTTCCTTTATGTTTGTATCTCTAAAGCCTAGAAATGGTGCCTGGTACGAGGGAGATGCTCAGTAGGTATTTGTTGACTGAACAAATGATTCGATAAATGTTGGCTATTATTATCATTATTAGGCCCTCTCTTAACCACCCAAGCCAGATCTCATGAATCTTCTGTGTTTCTCTCCTTCTCCATCACCAAATTCTGGATCCCCATTTGCGCCTCCTTTGCTTCCTCCCCTTCTCTCCTGTCTGCGCCTTGCTCTTGTTGCAGGAAGCGACACTCAACAGAGGAATTCAGGCACTCAGACAACTTTGTTCGAGGAAGGAAAATTTAATGCTGGCGTAGAGCGTGGGGCATTCAACAGACCCAAAGCACAATCTCCCCTTGGTTAGATTTCTTACAGCTTATATACCCTGATAGTGTCCGTGCAAGGGGTGCGTGATTCCTTTGTCTGAGGTTTTACATGTCCCTCCTTACTCAGAGTTAGGACGGGGAGCTTCGGGTCGGGGGCTGCAGGGGAGGAATTTCCAGAACCTTGGTCTTACAGGTCGTTTGTTTTGTAGAGTCTGAGACCTTGGTGTTATCAGCACCTTTATCAGATTCTTGAACAGAGAGACAGGACTCCTAGGCTTACAGATAGGGAGCAGCACTCATTGATGTCGGTGCCGCTCAGCAAGTTCCTTACCCAAAGGCTGAGCTCTTGCTGTAACACAGCAAACAGTTCTACAGTCTTGACATTCCTATGGCAAGACTACAGAGATAAGAAAGGGGCTGGAGAATCCTTGAGGTGGGGGATGCAGCTGTGGAAAACATGTTAACTGAAGAGCATAGGGCAGAATGGAGGAAGACAGCAGTTTTAACCGGCTGGGTCAGTTATTTCTGCAGGCCCTTTCCTTTGTATCTTTTATTACTTTCAGATGCCTCCTCTCCTCTCTCACTCTCCCTGGTATGATGGGGATGTAGGTTTGAGTTCTGCCTTGGTCCTGACCTTGCTGTGTGACCTTGAACTGGACATACAACACACAGATATACAATACACAGACACACACCAGTTTCCCTTAATGTATTATGAGGATAGGGGTAGGAATTTATGGGGCCCTCTGCAATTCCTAAAGGGTAAACGGGGTCCCAGGTTGGAAAGCGGAGCCTAGCTTCCCTCCTACCCCAAAGTGAGTAACCTCCGGAGGCAGGTGAGTTAATGAGTTGCAGGTGTGATTAGGAGGCACCACCTTTGCCTCCTAGGATCTGGAAGATGTAGAGGGTGGAGAGGGCTGGAAGACAGGAAAAATTTTTCTGCTTTTCTCTCTATATCAACTCATCTATGAAGGCCCCCAGGAGGGGCAGTGACTTGCTCAGGGTCACCAGTGACTTGGAGGCTGAGCCAGGGCCATGGAGCCAAGTCTCTTGTGAGGCAAGCCACCTAAACTTTCTGAGCCACAGTGGCCTCGCTGTGAACTGGGGACACGTGTCCACTGGCAGGGCACAGGGCGGAAGAACCACATGAGGCTGGGTCTGCCACTCTGGAGCCCTCAGTAGGCAATGGTTTGCTTCTTGGTCGCTTCCCCACTAGGCCCGGATGTCCAGTTTCTTCATCTACCACTCAGAGCCCACATCTAGTGCCTGCCTCCAGGCCTGGGATGTCAGGGGCCCTCGGAGCTCGTGCCTCTCGCACACTTTTCCTGTGGCCTCCCAGGCTTCTGTGACCCTCTGGTTGGGCTGGTGACCCCACTTCCTGCAGCTCCCCATCTCAAATCAGTTGGAAATTTCCCAACTGGAAATTCCGATACCACCCTCCCTCCCCACCCCAGCAACTAATCACTTCTAAAAATCATTCACTTCAGTCTTTGTCTCGCCAGGTTTCTGCTAGAGCCTGATGACTGCTTCTCACGTCCACCATCTCCTCTTCCTTCTTCCAAACTGATCTCAAAACCAGAGGATCGTTGTAAAATCGTTGTAAAATCTGACGTGTGTCATTTTCCCCTGCAAAAGCCCTTTGGAGGAACCCGCTGGGCTTTGAGAGATGTCAGATGCCTTAGCATAACCCCGGGAGGTCGTCGCCTGTGCTTCCTTCTCTGGCCCCCCTCTCCACTGCGACTAACACCCATCCCTCCGTTCTCAAACGTGGATGGACAGTCTGTCTGGTTCTAGCCACGGTGAATTAAACAAAGTACCCACTGTGGAAATTTGAGTTCTCGTTGGGGGTGGGGGTGGGGACAGACAAAAGACAAGATTAATAAATAATGTATACAGTAGGATAGATGGTGACAAGTACTATGGAAAAAAGTAAATCTGGAAAGGAGGACTGGGAACAGTAATATCATATGAGGGAGGGCTTTGCCATGAAGCTGACATTTGGACAAAGACTTGAAGGAGGTAAGGGAGGGAGCCATGCAGGTATCTGGAGGAAGAGCATTCCAGGCAGCTGGAGCAGCAGGTGCAAAGGTCCTGGGGTGCCTGTGCATGGAGCATGGAGCCAGGGCGGCTGGAATGGAGTGAGTGAGGGAAGACGTGGCAGAAGATGAGCTTGGAAGGGTGATGGGGTGGGCGGCATAAGCAAATTATCTAAAGTCTAGTAGGCCATTTTGAGGTCTTTGACTTTTACTGTAGTATGACAGGAAATCATTTCAGGGTTCTGAGCAAGAGTGACAAGGTCTGACCTGGCATTTGGGTTGGAAAGAGACTTCAGGGGGCAAGGGTAAAAGCAGCGAGAACTTGGGGGACAGAGATGATGGGGGCTGATGAGTAGTAGCGGGGTGGGGGGGTGAGAAGTAGATTGGATTCTTATATCTTGGAGGTGGAATCAACAAGATGCGAGTGTGAGAGAGGAGGTGAGGATGCTGGCCAGGATACCCAGGTGACGGCCTGGATAACACTGGAATGATGGAGATGACCTGGGAGGAGCTGATCTGGGGAGGAAAGGGAGGAGTATGTAGTGTAGGGGTGCGTGTGTGCATAATATTTAGAGTTTTATTTCTAGCTATGAATGAGTCAGTGCTTACCTGCCCTTGTGCCTTTGCACATGCTGGTCTGAAGTGTTTTTACTGTCCTGACAGAACTCCAGCTGACTTCTCAAGGATCCCTTCTGTGAATATGTCCCTTCGATTCCTTCCCCCAGGTATCTGGAGTTCTCTCCACACCAAAGTCTGTCTGTCTCTCTGCATTGTGCACATGCTGGACCTGAGGCATAGCTCAGAGCCTTTATCATATTTTGCCTCTGAAGGTAGGACCAAGGGCCATCACTCTTTGAAATTCTGTGTTTATCAGAGTGCCTTACACCTCAGAGTACACTGTACATAATAGATGTTCAACAAGAGACTGGGGACCTGGTTTGAATCTTGGCTCTGCTATTTATAGGTTCTGTGACCTCGAGCTGCTCCCCTTGCCTTTATGAGTCTCAGTATCTGCATCTGTCAGATGGGTGTGTTTTTCAGGATCTTGTGAGGATCCTAAATTCTGTGGACAGGAAAAAAACAAAACAAAACAAAAAAAAGTGGTTAGAGCGCCCTCTTCTGGAAGACGACAGACTCCTCAGCCACTCTCCCGCACTTTGTAGGGGAGGGAGGTAAAAGTCAGAGGCGGGTGAGAGGGGAACGGGAAAAACCGATAACCCAGCACTTCCAACGCACTGTTCACATCTGTTCCCATTTATTCCTCACCACGGTCTGTGGAAGAGGTTAGATTAAACCCATTTTACTGATCACATACTTGTCCCAGAGCTGCTTATGCGTCACTCACATTTTAAATGTTTTTAAGAGGAGAAAAACCAGAAAGGAGGCTGGGTCGTGGAGAGAAAAGAAAAGGCGGGGGAAAGACGAGAGTGCTCGGGTGACTTGGATGGATCTCGGGAGGGGTTAAGGACCAGGTCCGTCTACACTGTGGCTGGAGCTGTGGGTGTGCCGGACCCTACTCAGCCACCCACTCAGGTTGAGGAGATCTTGGCCAGTCCCTTCCACTCCCCGGGCTCAGTTTCCTCGCCTGTGAAATGGGCATGATAACCCTTCCCCTGTTCCCCTCTCTGGGCTGAGGGACAGACAGCGGCTTGACCCAAAGGACGTGAAAGCGCCTTGTCGAGCACGTGCTGTGGCCGCCCCAAGGGGGCGCGAGAGGCTCCTGCTGGACAGCGACCATGGAGATCCACTCCCACCGCCCACCAGGACCCCCGGACCAGCGAGGACAGGCTGAGGCTCCTCTGGGCCTGTTTCCTTTTCTGGGAGGGGCACTCGTTGCTTCCCTTCTCTGAGCCTCTGTAAAATGATGATAATAGTGTTTCCATGGTGGGTCCCAGCCTACTGATAAGCCCAGATTACAAAGCATTTTTTCCTCCATCAGATCACTTACCTGCCCAATACCTGAGAGGTGGCCCTGATACCACCCTCAATCCTAGGTGACAAAACTCAAGCCCAGAGCAGAGCCACCAGCCTAATTTCACCTGGGGAGTCAGACCTGAACATGACCCAGTGACTCTCGGCACTTCTCCGACTCCTCAGCAACTTCCCGCTGGGAGGCTCTCCTGAGCTCGTGACCCAGAGACACTCGGCACTTCTCCGACTCAGCAACTTCCCGCTGGGAGGCTCTCCTGAGCTCTGTGACAGGGCCCTCCTCTGCAAACCGTAGGGTGTAGCCCAGCTGGATCTGAGGGCTGGTGAAGGAGAAACCGCTGCTTGAAAAGTGTGTGCGGACAGGAGCAGCAGGCAGAGGGTGTGGTGTCCTGGAAGCACAGCTCTTGTTGGGAAGGAGGGAGAGACAGTGATAACACACAGGAAAATCCCCAGTCTAAGCCGGGAAGCCAGATGGAAGCCGTTACCCCACACCAGCAACACAATCCGGTGCAAACGACAAGTTAGCATTTTCTTTTAGAGACACGGTGGTCCTCACTTTTTTTTTTATAATCCTGTAAGGGAATCTGTTGTTTCCCATCAGCCTATCCCCAGAACTGGAATTCTACCATTACAATGTCATTCTTAGGATTAAATCATCTTCCTAGATTAGGAGGCAAGGAAATCGCTGTCAGTCATTCACATCCTACAGGAGCATTAAGACACCAGAGCTTTTCCAGGGGGCAGCTCACGAAGTATGAGAAGGGAACAGAGGGACCCAGGAAGGCCAGGCCTGCAGACAGCTCTGTCCTGGGAGATGCTATCGTTATTCCCATTTTACAGAGGAGGAAAACTGAGGCACAAGGAGGTAACATGATCAAGGCCACCCTGCCCCACGATACAGGAGCCAGAACTCAAGCCCAAGCAGTCTGCCTAGTCCCCAGAGCCCACATCCTTAACCATCCTGCTATAGTTAGGGAGTATCACACGTTGGCTAGGGACATGACCTCTAGGTACAAATCCCATCTGCTGCACCATTTCTAGATGAGTGACCTTGGGCAAGTGACTTGTCTGTGCCTCAGTGTCCTCATTTATAAAGTGAGGCAGTAGTGCCTGCCTCCCGGGGTTCCCCTTAAATGAATAATACCTGTAACATGTTTAGAACAGTACCATGCATGCAGCCACCATCCAGTGAATATGGGCTATTGTTCCTGAACCCCTTATGGGCACATGACCTTGATGAGTCTAGAATGCTTCAGGATTTCAAAATGCCAGCCCATGGGAGCCTGGAATCCTCCAGTGGCATTCTGATGTGTTTTGGCTGCAACATTGTACCAGGCTTCCCATGGCTGGACGGTGTGGGTCTGCCTGTCCACCCAGCTCAGCCCCACACAGGCAAATGAGGTGATGTCAAAGGCTTGGCTGGGGCCCAGCCCCTGTAACCTCCCCCTCTCCTTCCTTTCTTCTCCCTCATTCAGAGTCACACACACACTCCAGCTGGGCCCAGTGGAAAGGTGAGAGGGAGAGAAGGTGGCTGGTGGGGGCAGAAGCCATCCAAGCGTGGCTCCTGCAGCCTGGTGAACCTGTGGGTCCAGGAGCTGCGGCTGGACCTGAGGGAGCCTTCTCTCCCTCTAACTTTAAGCTCGGATTTGCAGTGATCCCAGGTGGGAGGTGTGTGAGTGCCCACGCGGGTGGCAGGTGCCCCTTCGCGGGCAGGGCACGCACCGAGGCCTGGCTGAGTCGCCATGACGGATGAGAAGACCTTCCGCATCGGCTTCATTGTGCTGGGGTTCTTCCTGCTGGCCCTTGGCACATTCCTCATGAGCCATGACCGACCCCAGATCTACGGCACCTTCTATGCCATGGGCAGCGTCATGGTGATCGGGGGCATCATCTGGAGCATGTGCCAATGCTACCCCAAGGTAGGCAGTGGGGTGAGGTGGCGGGTTGGCTTGGGGCCAGGGTCTGGGGACGAGGGACCAGGAAGGCCAGTCTGTGCCTCTATTCTAGGCATAAGCTGCGCCTGCCCCATCCTTCAATCTCTTTTCATCCTCCCGATTTTCACTCCTCTTATCTTCTCTCCACTTTCCTGATCATCCATCCATCCATCCATCCATCCATCCATCCATCCACCTCTCTGTCCCTCCATCACTCCATCCATCCCTCTCTTCCTTATAAGGATTGATCAGAAGCCCCTGGTCTGGAGCCCTGAACTAGGCACAATGAGGGAGACAGAGTAAAACCCAACACATGATCTTTGTGTGCATAAACCAAAGTTAGTGAGTGCTTGCCACCTGCCAGGCACTCCTGCATTCATGGTGCAGCTCAGTCCTCATCCAGAGTTTTTGGTACCTCTGTAGTTCCATTTTATAGTGGAGAAGCTCAAGGCTAAGAAAGGTGAGGTCTCACAGCTCCTGAGTCAGAATTGGGATCAGAGCTCACATGTGTGTGACATAAGGCATAACTCTCCACCTCAGAGGGCTATCCCTGTGTCCCAGAGCTGCTGAGAGTTCTGGGTGGGTCAGGTATAATCTGATGGCATGCGTTAGTCAGTGATTGATCCTTCAGAGCTTCAATGTACTCCTAGCCTTGTGAGTGACTTAGTGATGAGAAGAGCACTGATTTGGGAGGTCTGAGTTCTAGCTCCTGCTCTGTCCCAAACTCTGTGTGATCTTTGCCTCTCTGACTCTCAGTTTCTTACATCTGCAAACTGGGGCCCCAAGTACCTATTTCTCCCAGCTCACAGTTATTATGAACAGAGATGGGATGTAGGAATGTTTTATAAACCGTTGAGTATTATATTTAGGTGAAGGGCTGCCACCCTTACTGTTATTGGTCCTTCCGGCAGCCCTGTGGAATGGGTGTGTCAGGAGCTGTGAGCATTTAGTGCCCAGAGAGGTTGCCTGGCTTTTCTACAGTCATACAGCTGATCAGACAGACCCAGGGAAACAGAAAGAGAAGCATGGATTTTAACTTGAGCTCTGCCTCTAACTTCTTGGGAGATTTAGGTCAAGCCCCTTCTCTCTCTGAGCCTCAGTTTCCTCATCTGTACGATGTAAGAGTCAGGAAAAGGGGTGGGAAAGGGGGTGCATCTGAGGATCTTCCTGATTGTGACATCCGCCCAGGCAGTCCCCACCACCTGCAACCCCTTCCTCACCTCCAGCCTGGGTGCTCTGCTGCGGGGGTGGTGTGGGGAGGGGGTCAGGAGAGAAGAGAGGAGGCTCCTGGGAACCTGGGCCCAGCTCTACCTAGCCCTGCCCCCTCCATGGGTCAACTTCGGGCTGTCAGAATGTGTGGTGCTAGGGCGGTCCTGGCTGGTTTGTAGTCATTTACCTAGCAGTTTACAGTCAACTCTCCTCTGTAAAATGCCCTGAGCAGAGGTCATAGAGAGAGGAGGGCCTTCAGGCGAGCCACTCACTTCATTATCCTCCTTTTCCCAGTGAAGGAGGCTGGACCAAGGGGGAAGGCAAAGGAACAGTGGGGGGCACAGAGGGGGGTGTCCTTCTTGCTCTCTTTCCTACCAAGAGCTGGTTCTGGCGAGGTGGGCAGAGTGACTGGGTGGCAGTGGGGGATGAGGGAGAGAGAGGAAGAGGGAATATTGCTGTGTATTAATGAGTAACTGTTGATAGATTCACGTGCTCCTGTGCTCTGGAGGCAGTATGGCAGGGTGGAAGCACGTTTTGGTGTCCAACAAGCCCAGATTCAAATCCCTCCTTGCTCTTGCCCCGTTTCTGTGTCCTTGGCAGAGGGAGTCGTCCCACGTCCTGAGCCTTGCGGCCGAGTGAGAGGAACCAGTGGGGTCTTGTGTCGGGGGGGACCCAGCATCATGCCTGGCACAGAGGTGTTTTGAAGGCATTATTCTCAGGACTAGTGTTTGTGGCATTGGGCGGCTTCTCTGTGTGTGTGCATGCAGGTGTGTGTGCAGGTGTGTGTGCAGGTGTGGGTACAGGTGTGGGTGTTACAGACGGCACACTAAGGGAGGGAGGGAAGTGTGTTCTAACCCAGGGAGGTGCGCTAGAAGGGGAGGACCCATCTCTCATACTGTTTCTTTGGTGTCCGGGCCATCCATGGGAGCCCTCAGCAAATGCTGTGCCCACCCCACTCCTCAGGATCCTCCCCTGCCTCTCAGTGCCTGGCAAATGGAAATTTCCTGGCTTGAAAGAAATATAAATATGAGGGACTAGAATCAATTAATTAAGATATAGGGGGTAAGAGTTGGCCAACACCAACTGAATTAAACTATCCTCATCTTTGAGGGGCTGGAGATCTTGCAGGGAAGACAATTTTCCGCCTGATGAGGAGGGAGTAGACTTTACAGAGAAGATGGGCTGAGTTTTGTGGGCCAAATAGAAGTTCACCAGACGGAGAAGTTAAGAAAGACATTCCAGGCAGAAAGAACAGCATGATCAAAGACACGAAGTAAAAGAGCAAGGCAGGGGGGTCAGCATGGTTGCTAGGGGTCAGAGGTGGAGAAGGAAGGTCAGAGAGAAAGAGTTAAGGGCTCAGCATCTCTGGGCCTGAGATGCCATGCTAGGGAATTTGCATCTTATCCTTTAGTTGATGGGACAAGAGAGAGACAAGATCAGCTTTGCAGTTCAAAGAAGTTATCAGGCTGACATCTGGGGGTGTCGGAAAGGGAAGGTTCAGAGTCCACCAGACCTGTAGGGGAGGCTCTTCCTTTGGTCCAGGTGAGAGATGATGGTTTCCCAGACTAAGGCGGAATTTAAACCCAAGACTGTAGGAACTGAGAAGACATTTCCAGTGTGTCAAACATACAATACCCGTTTGTGGCTGGACATGGCATTGCCACTTCCATCTACTTATCTCGCTGAAGATCTGAAGTAGACTTGGTCAGATCTGGTGGCCAGCTGGGCCTCAGGCTTGAGAGGGGAGGAGGAATTGGGGCAAGTCTAGTAGGTGGGGCAGTCAGGGCCGCTGCACCCATTAGCTAAGATTGGGGTGGGCGGCTGGGAGAAAGGGAAAGATTGGCAGGGAAAGCAGGGTCTCCCCCTGTCCAGCTTCTGCTTCGGCCCACAGGTCCCCCATTCCCCACTCCTGCCTGCTCAGCTGGAGCCCAGGATCAGGCCCCCGATTGGCAGCTAATGGCCCTTTCTTGTTCCTTCTGCTCTTTCTCTTTGGAGGGATTTGTCTAAATGCAAATCTGCCTGTGCACTCTCATACTGGGCACTCCTTCAGGGCTCCTGCTGCTTCTAGATAAAAGCTGAACCCCTTGCTGCTGTTCTGGGATTTTCATGTTCTGATCTCCCCTCCCCAGCTTCGACTCTGCCTGTCTCACTCTCTGAAAAGGACTTGTATTCTAAGGTGCTTCTCTGTCTTTCCTTCTCCTCCAGGCTTTTCACAATAGCAATGATGATGATGATGATGATGGTGGTGATGGTGATGGTGATGATGTTGATGGAGGTGATGATGGTGGTGGTGATAGTGACAATGGTGATGATGGTGAGGAGGAGGATGGTGACCAGGCCATGAGGTGATGAGGCAGAGGAAGGAACAAATTCTAGGAAGTACAAAACCAGCTGGCAAATACAGAGCATCCTTAGTGGGTGTGGAAGATACCCAGGCCCCTGCCTTAGGTCCGGATATTTGGGGGAAGCTTGCCCTCCTAGGGTTATTATTATTCCTTTATCCCCAGCAGAACGAAGCTTTTCTGGTGTAGACAAGTGTCTTTTACTTATCGCGTTCTCTGAAAAGGAGAAAAGGGACTGCTCTCTATGAACCTGGTATAATGTAGCAGGGTTTCATCAAATATTGATCAAACAAATTTTACTGGAAAAGACCATGACTCAGAGAAGGTAGCTTCATCTTCAGTAGCATCAAACTATAATTTACTGAGCAGCTACTATGTGTCAGGCACTGTGCTGGGGGATTCCTTAGATAGTATCTCATGGAATCCTCGCAGCAACTCCAGGAGATAGGCGTCGCTAGCAGTAATTTTTTTAACTTGTGGTAAAATACGCACAACATAAATTTTACCATCTTAACCATTTTTGAGGGTGCAGTTCAATAGTGTTAATCACATTCACATTGTTGTGCAACAGATCTCCAGAACTCTTTTCATCATGAAAAATGATGAAAAGTGAAACTCTGTACCCAGTGAACAATAACTCCTCATCCTGCTCCTTCCAGGATGTGGCAACCACCATTCTACTTTCCATCCCTACGAATTGGACTATTCTAGATGCCTCATACCAGTGGGATCATACAGGATTGGTCTTTTTGCGATTGGATTATTTCTTCACATTTTATCTGTGTTGTAGCCTGTGCCAGAACTTCATTCCTTTTGAAGGCTGGATAACATTCCCTTGCATGTATATGCTACATTTTTTTTAGCTGTTCATCTGTGTATGGACATTTAGTTCCTTCCACCTCTTGTCTACTGTGAACGATGCTGCAAACATCTCTTTGAGGCAAACTCATTTTGCACAGGAGCGCGGAGAGGCTCTGGGAGGGGAGATGACCTGCCTGAGGAAGCTTTCTCTCCCAATCTCCCAGACCGCAGAGGCAGGGCTCCTTCTGCCTCATCTCCCTGCTTTCCTTCATGATCCACCTCCCCTCCCCTTCCTTTATGTGCCCACGCCATGCGGCTGCACTTGCAGAGACTTCTTGGCCCCTGAAAGTTCGGAGATAGGGACTCGTGGGCAAATCCCGGCTATACACTTCTTGGTCCCCACCATAGCCTCTGTGCCAAGAAATGCATGACAATGACCTGCTTTCCACTCATTCACCAGATGTGGATGAAGTGCCTCCTCTGTGCCAGGCACATTCTGGGCACTGCCCGAGGACACAGGGAAAAGACAAGATGTGAGTTCCTCCAGGGTAAGGGTGTTTGTCTCACTGCCTGCTGCCTTCTAGGGCCTAGAAGAGTGCTTGGAACACAGCAGGTGCTCGATAAATGTTTATCAGGTGAACGTAGAGCCAGGTGGGAGCAGGAGCCCGGAGATCCACGTACCTACTGGTGCTGGGCCCTGAGCAGGCCCCTCTCCTGTCAGAAGGGGAGGCTCTCTCTGATCAGTCTCTTTCGCAGAGGTTGTGGAGAGTTTAGGCCTGTGCTCTGGGGCAGCAGCAGCCAAGCCTGTGTGCAGGCAGCCACAGAAAAGCTGTTGCCCCTGTGCCCTGCAGATCACCTTCATCCCCGCTGACTCTGACTTCCAAGGCATCCTGTCCCCAAGGAAGTCGCTGGGCTTGCTGGAGAGTGGGCTGATCGCTGAGAAGAGGTAGGTGCCTGGCTCTCCTGGGCTGGGAGGGGCTGGAGGGGAGGGGCGGTGAGCCTCTCAGTGGGGCGGTGAGCCAGTCTTCCCTCACAGAGGAGAGAGAGGGAGTGCGCTGGGAGGGGTGGACTTGGCTTCCCCACTTACTGAGAACATACTATGAGGAATCATGGATTGTTCTGAACTCTCGATTCTGTGAGATAGGCATTATTATGCCCATTTTACAGAGGAGGAAATTGAGACTCAGGGACTTCGTTCTGTCTTACCGTGAACTAATGGCAGACACGAAATCAAAAACAGGTTTGACCCTAAATCCCAAATGGTGATGGCCATGGCACAGACCTGGGGCTCTGCCACTTACCGGCTGTGTGACTTTGGGAAAGTGATGTACCTCTTTTTGTCCCCTCTGTAAAATGGGGATCTTAATGGTACCCTCCTCCTGGGGCTTCAGGGAGGGTTCAGTGAGATAATGTATGCCGAGCGCTAAGACCAGAACCTGGTGCTTAGTAGGCCCTCTGTAAGTGTTTGTCATCATTAGTAAGAAGAACTTCCTGTGTATCAGAGACCAAATTAGGCCTTTTGTACCCGTTGCCTCCTTCGGTCCTCATAGAAACCTTGTGAAGGAGTGGGGTATCCAGCCCTTTACACGGTTGTGGAAACTGAAGCTTAAGAAGTGCAGTCACGACCCCCAGATCTCACGGGGAGTCAATGACAGACCAGACCCGACCAGATCTGCCTTTGTCCCCGAAGGTGACAAGCCCTGGAGGCTTACCAGGACATGGCAGAGAGCACTCCATCCCTGGAGAGGAGGCGGAGACCAGCCGCACTCCTCCCTGCCCCCAGAGGCTGTGATTCCATGCTCAGAAGGCCAGGCCGCAGGTCCGGGGTCTGTGGCCAGGGCTCTGGAACTCTCTCTGCTTCGCTGGGGGAAGGAGGTGGTGATGGTATTTTCTGTTCTTGGCACGCAGAGTGACCAAATGTCCCAGGGGAATGAGGTGATAGAACGTGGGTGGAAGTGGGGGGCCAGACTCAGGACTAGTCACATGGGGAGAGCTGCTGAGACAGAGCCTGAGTCTGGGCTCTTCCTGGTTAGTCCCCAGCCCTGGGCAAGGGAACCTCACTTTCCAGAGGGACCACAGAGAGCAGTAGAAAATGTGATGTCTGGAGTCTCATTTCTGCCACCTTGTGTCAGAGTTACCTGGGCAAGTCAGCTAAAGCCTCTGTGCCTCAGTTTCCCCCAGTATTTCCCAGAGTTACGGTGAGGATTAGATGAGCTACCCGACGGAACCTGGTAGCACTCAGTAGCTACATGATTACCGCTGATATTTCTTCATCTGAAAAAAGGGAATGATCATTCTGCTCAAGGCGTTCAGAATAAATGGGACGATAAGCACAAAGCCTTTAGGCCTCCGTCTGGAACCCAGCAAACTCTTAGTCAATGTGACTGTTCTTCGTTTTGCAGTCAAGTTCTTGGGGTTAACTTTGGACACCCAGGGTGAAAGGAACACTGGGCTTAGCTCTGCCACTTACCTTACCTTGCTGGGCCTCAGACTCCTCATCTGTGAATTAGGTACAGTAACGACCCCCAAAGGCCTCTTTGAGATCAGGGGAGACCAAGTGGCTAGAGCAGGTGGACCAGGGAACAACACTGATGTCTGTTGAATGATTCTTTGCCCACCTGCTCATTCTCTCCTTTGCTGTCTGCCGTGCCTCCACCTAGCCCCCAGCCCCCCTATATCAGGCTGCGGGAGGAAGCCGCCTATGACCAGAGCCTGCCCGACTTTGGCCACATCCAGATGAAGGTCATGGGCTACGGCGAGGACCCCCACCCCCTGCTGGCCCCTGAGCTGGGACAGCAGCAGCCGGAAGCCAGTGATAGAGGAGAAAGTGGCCCTCATGACGCTCAGGCCTGGATGGAGGCTGCCGTGGTTGTCCACAGGGGCTCGGATGAGGATGAGGGAGAAAGAATCCCACCTCAGAGCAGGCCTGGGTGAGTGTGCAGAGCGCAGAAGTGGGGATGCTGCCCACTTCTGGGGTGAAGGAGGAGGGAGGCCACTGAGGGGTAGTTTGGTTCATTTGGGAGTAGAGAGGGCAGTAGGGGTGGGGACACCCTGAGAGGAAGCAGGCGTAGCAGACACATGAGTCTGGTCTTAGTCAGATGGGCCTGGGTTCAAATCCCAGCAGCTCTGGCAAGTTTCTCACCCCCCTGAGCCTCAGTTTCCCCACAATCCTCCGAGGATTGCTGTGAAGACTGCGACAGTGCATGAAATGTCAGGCATATATCATAGGCCTCTGTGCTGTCTGAATGCTTGTCACGAGTAGCCAGGGACAGAGAGCCAAAGGACCTGAGTTCGGATCCATCCGGACTGCCACAGATATGCTCTATGACTTTAAGCAGGTCACTCACCACCCCACCCCACTCCATCCCGGTTGTTTATGGACTGGGTTCCTCATTCATCTATTTACTCAGCCATCCTACCACCATTACTGGGGACCTACTCCCTGCCAGGCCTTAAGGACTCACACCTTGCAAGAACTCCCAATCCAACGGGGAGGCAGATGAAGGAACAGAAAGTGACACCTAGTGTGATGGGGGCTGATGGCCGAGAGGAGACCCCTGAGTGATTGGAGAAGCAGAGGAGTGACCTGGTTTGGATAATAACATGATAATAGCCCATTTCTTGAGCTGCTACTATGTGCCAGGCATTGTGCAAAGTGCTTTGCACACATGGACATGATAATAGCCCATTTCTTGAGCTGCTGTGCCAGGCATTGTGCAAAGTGCTTTGCACACATGATCTGCCGTAAACCTCAGAGACACCAGAGGAGTGAATACTGTTATTTTCCCCTACCTTACAGGGGAGGAAACCAAGGCCTAGACAGGTGAATTCACCTCCCCTGGCTTTGCAGCTAGAGGCTGAGGTTTGGACTCAGCCAGTCTGACTTAGAGTTACCCTTGCCCTCTCTGGCTTTGCCCCTACAGACCCCCAGCCTGTCCCCACGGTCCTGCACCCTTGGCTTCCTTCCAAGATGACCTGGACGTGGATTCCAGTGAGGGCGACATCCCCAACCCGTCTCCATGTGAGGCGGAAGAGCCTGGTCCTCAGCCACGGGAGCCCTGGGCCGGCAGGTGCTGGCTGGACCGCTTCCACGACTTTGCTCTGATAGATGACCCCACATTGGAGGACATGCCTCCAGAGGGGCAGTTGCGAGACACAGCCCTGCCTGGCTATTGGCAGCCGTCCCCGAGGACAAAAGAGGAGGAGGCAGCTTCGGACACAGGCGCCAAGGGGCCAGAGCAGGAGGAGGAAGATTTTTACTATGGGCTGCCGGACAGCCCTGGGGACCCTCTTCCAGACAAGGAACTGGGCTTTGAGCCCAACACCCAGGGCTGACGTGAAACTTTCCCGGGCACTAGCCTGGCATGGCTAGCGCTGTGTGACCTCACCAGGCCTCAATCTCCCTATCTGCAATATGGGGTTGCATGGTGGTTCAAAGAAACAGTGTATCCTGGAGCACGTGGAGAACTGTAAAGAAACACACAGGGAGGGCATGATTACTTTCGAAGGACCATCACTTATCCCAATTGTTATTTTTTGGGGGGTAAAGTTTTGAAGGTAAAATGTGATTTGTGGAGAAGATTTGCAGCAGCTGGGTCTCTCAAAGGCCTTTTTTTCCTCCCCTCCAAGTTGGCCTCTGAACAGGAGCGCTCCTTGGTGCTATGCCTGGGTCCCTGATCCTCTGTGGAGGCCTCTCAGGGTTCCTGTTCCTGTCGAGTCTTGTAGTCCACCTGGTAGCTGGCGTGATCCGTCTTCACCCAGAGCTAACACATTCTCCTGCTCACATCCCTCCTGTGGCTCCCATCACTCCAGGACCCAAAGCCTTCCATGACTGACCTCTGCTGATCTCCTTTCGCCCTGGTTAGCCCCTCTGCTCCTCGGTCCCCAGGCCATGCCCCACCACGCACACTCATCCTGCTGCCCCGTGCCCTTCCCACAGTCTCCTCTGCCAGGAAGCTCCCTTGTCTGCCTGGCAAACATATGCTCACCCTTCAAACTCTTAAACAGATAGCCCTTCTCTAAAAGCCTTTCCTGATACTGCCTCCTGGAATAAGTTGGTCCTGGCTCCTCGGTGCCATCTGTAGGTTTGTACACTTAACACTTGGGCATAACTGTCTGCTCAAGGCTGGAACTCTTGCTTTACTCACCTCGGTATCTCCTGTGGCCAGAGTCAGAGGTTATTGAAGGTGTGTGGACTGACCAGAACCCAGGAAATTTTTGCAGATAACGTTCCCCTCTCCCATTTCCCTAAACCTTAGGCTCCTAGTCGCTTTGATCTCTGGCATTCAAAACTCGAAATGGCCTGCATAGGAGTCACAAAGCCAAGAGAAGAGCCCTCAGAGTAACTCCCATTTCTGCAGCATACATCTGCATTGGGTTAAGATTGTGGGTGAAATGAAGCTTCCTGGCTTAATGCAATTTGATTGAAGTGGCATTTACTGAGCATCTACCATGTGCCAGACACGAAGCCAGGATCTTTAGGGGGAAAGAGACATAAACTGATAACAACTCTTGCCTTCAAAGGGCTCACAGTTTAGTGAGCTTGTTTTTTTTTTAAGTTAGGGACAGAGTGAAGAGCAGGAGCTGAGGTGGGAGCAGAGAAGTAAAAAATCGGCACACCAGAGGCAGCAGAGTGACAACCACGCAATCATCTGGGGCCAGTGCAAATAGCTTGGCCATTTTCAGCAGGCCCCGAAGATACCACTGTATTGTAGCATCACAGAATAATGCTTGTAGTATGCCGATCTCTGCCAAGTCCCTCTGTGTCCCAGGACAGGCACGGTGGCAGTTTCAGAGGAAGGGGCAGTGGCACTACCTCAGTCAGGTCCACACACTCAGAGGTTGCACTCTGGGCCATCTGGAAAGGCGGGGGCCGTCACCTAGGCTGGGCTTCTGGGTCAAGGCCAGGGGACTCGGAAGTGGGAAAGGGATGTCCCCTATGCTGGGTCAGAGGGTACACCCCCAGAACACATTCCACCTCCAGTGTGAAAGCCTCAGTAGTGAAAAGCATCATTGGGCACGTCCCCTGCGCCATAACATGTCCACTCATAGCCCCGAGTTATTAGACCGGGTGAAGTGTAGTATGTCTCTGCATTCTGTTTACAAAGGCAGGGAGAAGCGGGACCTGCATCAGAAACAGCAACAGGAGGAATGGCTGAAATAAAAGAGTTTTCAACGTTTCAAGGGGCCACCTTTATTCACCTACAAATTCTTTTATGTAAAACCACCTGCTCCCTCTCTGGGCTGGAAAAATGAGGCATCGTGCCTGGCGGGCACCACGGGCACCCTCTAGAAAGTGAACGCCAAACACCGTGGTGCGACCACGTGGGACAGCCGTGTGGTATGTGCCTGAATCACAATGGTAGGGCATTCCCTGGATCTTACCAGAGAACCAAGAGCCTGGCTGCCAGGCCCACCAGCAGATTGAGGCCTACCCAGGAAGTTGCACCAAGGGCTCGGGGCCATGGAGAGAGATGGCGAGACTCGGGCTTTGGCTGCAGTTCCGGCTCCTCCACCATCTTACTGTGTGACGGGGAGACCACACACCCACTCTGCTCAGGACAGTCCTGATTTATGCATACTTAGTAGTGCATCCTTTCATTCTCAGAGGTATCCCATTTAAATGGTAAATTATATATTCACCCTACTCTGTGACCTTGAGTCTGGTTGCCTCTGTGGACCTCAGTTTCCTCATGTGCAAAGGAAGATAATGGATGCCGGTCTTTGACCTTTGCAGGGGTTAGGTGGCGGGGGTATTTGATAGATTCATCTGCCAGTGCCTGCAGGAGACCACCAGGAGCTCATCTGTAGCTAATAGTTGGGTTTATTACTCATCGCAATGAGGGGAACAGACCCCATGGGTACAGTGCGGTGCTCTGTGTAGTAGGGTGTGAGAAAGGACTTATGGGATTTGAGCTTGTGTGAGGTGATTTGGGGGAGGACCTAAGGAAGTGGGGCTCTGCTCTGTTGGGAAGCAAGGTTAATTCTATAATAGGTCATCTCAATCAATCTGATCTAGAAGGAGGAAAGCTGAATGAAGCTGTAATTGGCAGAGAAGCAGCAGTCACCCTCCAGCCAGGAGAAAGGCATGTTTGGTTATTGTTGTGGCCGTGACAATAGTCATATTTTGCCTTTTCTTGGCCACGGCCTTGTCTTGAGCCATCACGGACACAGAGTGGCCTTGTTGGGTGCCGATGCTCAGTGAACTTGATCATGTTCAACACGACACCAAAGCCTAGGTGTGAGGGTCACCTGCCCTCTGGTTTCACTCTGGTCTCACCGTTTAGTGGGTCCTCCTCGAGGCCTGACAGTGACTGTGGGGAAGGAGTGGGGAGTAAAATGCTGTGGATTTCATTTGAAAAGAAGGGCCTGTAGCTTTTTAAAAGTTTGAACAGCATGGGGCAAGGGGTTCTTATTCCATTCAGCTCTGAACGTCCCCAGCTCTGTGATCTGCCTTGCGAGGTTATTACACATGAAACCCCACTAGCCCCTTTCCTTGGCCTGCCACCTTTCAGTCTCCTCTGAGAACACAGGCCTCTGGGATGGCCCCTCTCGTTGGCTCATTAACCAGGAAGGTGTGAGGTCTTCTTGCAGGTCTCCAGAGCAGGTGGAGTGCTGCAGGGCCTGGAGGAGCAGCCTTGGCAAACCCTAAGATTTCAGCTGTCGGCCCCAGGCTCCAGGTTTGTGTACCATGGCAAAAATTCCTGCTCTTTTCACCCTCCTGTCAGGTCAGAGGGAGTTGGGAAGTTTCCACTCTCTGGGTGAAAAAGGCCCTGGAGGGATGGAGAGATGGTTCCCGCCCTAAACTGGGAAAGAGAGTGTCCTGGAGGCAGGGAGCTCTGGCCCCACTGGCTGCTTGCCATGACCTTGGGCATGCTGCAGCCCTCCTGGGCTCGGTCTTTGGACTCTATACAACTAAGTGGAGGTGGACAAGATTGCACTTTTACTCCCAGTCCGTAAGCACTGTGCCAGGTGCCCTCATGCCTATTACCCCATCTGGTCCTCGCAACGGCCCTGGGGACAGATCCGTCGACCCTACATTGCAAACATTTGTTCTGAATCCCAGAGTCTGAAGTCAGAAAGACCTGGGTTTGTACTCAGCCTCAACCAGTACCTTGCTGTGTGACCTTGGATAAGTCACTGCCCCACCCACATCCACATTTATACAGTGGGGAAGATAATACCTAGCTTTCAGGCTGTCGTGAGGGAGAACTAATGGGTATACTGCCTCCTGCACATTGTAGGTGGTCAAACAGAGTCAGTCTCCTACCTTTCCTCTCCAGGTCTCAGTTTTCTCATCTGCACAGTGGGGATCAATTCCGTCCTGCTTATGAATTGATAGTAAGTGAGTGGATTCATCAGAGAGAAGATGTGTGTGAGAGCTCTTTGCAAAGGGTACAGAAAGTCTACAGCGTGCCAGGTACCAAGGGGCAGGTCAGCTGATAGCCAGTGACTAGGAGCTAAGGCAGAGATAAAGTACCTCCCGCAGGACGGGGAGGAGAGAGCAGAGTGCTGAGTAAGAGGCAGCATCTCAGGAGCAAGGAGGAGAAGCAGGATCCTTTGTGCCCGGTGACACAGACAGCAGACAGAGTTACTGAGCATCTGCTGGGTAGTGGGTATTCCACATGTATTAGCCTGCTGAATTTAATCCTCCCATCACCCCTGAAAGAGAGCTATTCCAGGGGCAGAGCTGGGGTTCAAACACAGTTCCTCCGAGCCTGTGCTCTTTCCACTCTGCCACCTGCTGCACACATGGAACAAGACGCAGTGATGCACTGACTATGTTATGCTCACCTGATCTCATTTCATCCTCAAAACCTGAATGATTGTTGTGTTGTCCCCATTTTACAGATGAGGAAACCGAGGCTCAGAGAGGTTGAATAATTTGCCCTTTATCCCAGAGAAGAGCTAAATGGAGGAAAGGAGATATAGCTATGGGCTTTCTACTCCTGCCAGGAACCAGCCAACAGTCTCAGGTCATCTTAACCCTAGTGAGGACAGGAGAAAGACACATATCAGGCAGCAAGGTTCCACTGAGCACCTACCTGTGCCTTTTCCTGTACTAATGCTGAGGGCAGACACACCCTTGCTCCTGTATCTTCCATGATCCCTATTGCCAGAGGATAAGGCTAGATTCCTGAGCGTGGCATTTGAGGCCTTCATGATCTTGCCCCAACTGCCCTTTCCAGCCCATTTGCCCACCACTTCCTCCCGTGCAGCAGCCACTGGAAACCTGACCCTTCACACCATTCTACCTGTTCCTTCTGCCTCATGCCCTTCATCTCCTTCTCTATCATCCTTCAAGGCTTGGTTCAAATTCTACCTGTTCCTTGGAG